TCTCACTTACACAAACGAGCAGCCCTTCCCACGGTTCCCTCCTTTTTCCTTCACACGCCATCTCATCACAACTCAAAGCTTCGAGAACTTTTGAAAATGAAGCACACTCCCCCCTCCTTCTACCTGCCCTTTTATAGTCAGACTACAATCCTTATTCCAAAAATAAATCAGGCTGATGAGAGGCCAGAAAAAGCGAAGCTTTATAGTTTTCTACTTTCATTATTGAGTTATGGGACACTAGTTGGACAGACTTACCATCACATTTTTACAAATTCCCCTACAAATAAATAATTCTAGGATATGCCCAAATAACTCTGGCCTCTTGACCCAACATGTTTTTATAATTACTTGGCACTCCAACCGTATGCTACTTAAATTAGGGAACAGTCACCAAGTTATTTTTAGGCCATGGCAACACACACACACACACACACACACACACACACACACACACTGCCATACCTAGCTTGTTACTTATACTCCTTTGGAAGGGGAGCTTAGATTGCCCTTTTACTGGTGCCATCATTTCTGCTCAACCACTGGTAATAATAATATGAAGCTACATTTAGCGAGCGCTCACCGCATATGAAAACTGGTCTAGACACTTTGTGCCCATGACATCATTTGATTCCTAGACTAACACTGTGACATAGCTGCTGTTACATCCTCTTTTATAAATGAGGAAATTAAGGAAGTAAGGGATGAAGCAATTGCCCAGGGGCACATGGCCAATATGAGGGGACCAAGACTAGAATCAGACAGACTGGATCCAAAATCCTGCATGAATTTCCCCACCACTTGCTACAAGGCGAATGTTCAGCATGTTTGGATGTTAAGCAGAGGCTCAGAATAACAACACTAACTTTGTGATTATAGGAGGTATGTCTTTATTTCACATATCTTTAAAAAAGTTCCTCCTAACATCCTGCAAGACCAGAGGAAGACTGTGGTTCTCCCATGACAAACAAAGCAGAAATAGACTATTTTCGCGGGGTCTCTGATTATTGAGCATAGCCTTTCCCTTTGTCATCAAACTCAATACTGCCTGTAAGTGTTACTTCAGAATCCTTTGTGATTATGGAAGAATGTGCACTCTGTGTGGTTCATTCCTCAGGAATTATGATGGAAGGTTTTATAGTCTAAAAACCGAACTCCCTGTGTTATCATATCTTCCCTACGAATCAGCCTCCTGAAGTGATTGTCTCTCCTCTCCTGCTCCCCACTGAACACCACGGGTGCAGCAGCAGGTCCGTGGGTGGGGGGGGGTTGCTGAATGGGTCAGCAGTCTTTGCTCCCTGACTGCATAGAGCAAGTACAGGCCCGAGCCCTGACACAGCCACGTGGAAGGGGGGGCTACAGCCTCCAAGGAGGTGCCCAGAGCCCTCCCACTCCGAGGGAGAGCTGCTTCTCCACAGACCTGAGAGCCAGCTAGTCACAGTGGAAATCGAAGTTTGAGAAACTCTCAAGAGGGGGCACATAATACTGAAGTATTTAGGAGTGAAAATGTGTCCATACTATACTATAAAATGTCCGCAGCCTTATTAATTCTAAAACAGTAACTTGAAACCTGAAACATATTTGAATACATTAAAATGTTGTTTATACTATAAAATAGTTCAACAACCAAAAAAGGAAGAGAAAGCCAATAGGGCAAATATAAACAACTGTTTAATCTGGGTGGTAGATATATGGTGCTCTTTATATTCTTTTCTGCTTTTCTATATATTAGAAAATTCTTATAATAAAAGTTTTAAAGGCATAGAGGTCTTTAAGGAGGAGGCAGGTGACAATAGACTATCTTTTCCAACAGAGGTAAACGATAAATTATTTTCCTGAATTCAGCTTTCCTGAAAAGAAAGGGTACCTTATAAACATCAAAACAAAGATGATAGCTCTCATTATGAGAGGCCCAGAACTGCCGAGCCTTCTTATTCAGTTTGGTTAGAAATCATACTGAAAACCAACTTGGGGTAAAACAGACTGTAATTCTCTCAAAGACTTTGCAAATCCCTAAATATTTATGCATTTGGATCATTTTCACCAGAAGGAGTAGAAGCACTGGTCTGATGCCATTTATTCTTCGGAAGAAGAGAATAAAACATGGATTTAGACATAGGTCACAACAGGGAGGGGACTGTAAATTAGAACAGTAACTTAATCCCAGGGGCTTCTGCGCCTCTGATCAGTTTCTTCCCAACCTGACACAGCATTACTAAAATGGTAACTGAGCAGCCGCTCTACTTGACAGGCAGTACCAAAAATGGAGAACGTGGCATTGAAACAGGGGGGACATAAAACTTGGAGAGGGGAGGGTAGCAACCGGTGTTTACAAACATAAACCAGAGAATCAGTTGGGCCAGCCATAAATTACCCGAGATTGTACTGAAATCTCTGAAAATAAATTAATGAGGCCCTCAAAGTTTCTAACTTAGATTCTAACTATCTTCACCACCACAGCTTCCCTGCAAAAAAAAAAAAAAATCATTCATTCCAAAATGGTACCACTACAACTCTGCTAAAATAAAATCTTGCATCACCCAGGGAGGGGATTAGTATAATAAACCTCAGCAGAGAAGCCAGACCAGAATGGTCTGCTTGATCCACTCAAGAACTTGGGAGAAGTCACTGGCCGTGCCTTCTGAGAGATGCCCACCCCATTCTTCACCTCCATGGTGCTATGGTATTAACCTTTGGTATACCCAGACGAAGGGTAGCTAGGGACATCCTAATTATGATCACTCTCCTTTTTTTCCCATCTTGGTCCCCATTTTAAGCCATTCCCCCAAAAGAGACCAAAATAATAATGACGACAATAATAAATAAACTAAATTACCAACCCTTTTGCTCCTAAACTGTCTATTTTCAATCAAATTCCCAGATATTTGAAGAAAAAGCCCCCAAAGCTACAAAGAATCCAACCTCTACCACCAGCGTGTCTTCCAGGTCAACCGCCGCTGTGTCTCACCAACCCGAAAATGACGAGCCCTCACCGCGGCTGCCCGGGGTGCCCAGTGGTGAGGTCAGCAGCATGTCCGGCCCCGCCCCACTGAGGCAATCTTACTTCACTGACACTGAGGAACAAGCCCAGGCTGCCCGGACTCTCAGCTGCATCCACAGGGGAGGAACCCCACTTTCATCGGTAGCACCCGGGAGATTCATTTCCCAGTGATTGACAGGCCACCACCAAACACAAAAATGTCCGCTGAAAACGAGAGGGTAAGATCTCCAATTCCGCCTAATCACCCTCATGTTCAAGTCCAGGGTCATCTTAATTTGTATTGTTTGATGACTGTCCTCAAATCGTATAGACACAAAAGGTCTGCTTTTTCCTAACATCAACTCTACACCAGCAAAGAGATGACCCGCCAGACCATGGGCTACCTCCCTCTTTGCTCCCCAAGACAAACCATTACAAATGAGAAATTCGTGGATTGTATTTTCTCATCTGAAAAAGACAAAACAAGCCAAGATCATGGTGGGAGAACACTAGCTGGGTAAGCCTACTGGGAATCACTCAAAGTCAACCAAAAGAATAGAAAACAATAAAATACAGAGCTACACAGAGGAAATCTGAATGTATCTGTAACCCTAAAAAAAATCATCAATCACAACAAAAATACCTGGGCCCTGCTGAAACTCTCTGGATATGACCTCCACCATGTTCTCCTGCCCACCAGAGCCTACCAACCCTAAGAAAAGTTGTGCCTTTGTGGCAGTTGAGCCTAAGGAGAGCAGGAGGGAATGGGACCAGGGGGAGGGGGAGGGAGGAATTTATCAAAGTAATTCAGAACCATATTTCCAAGAATGCTACTTAACAAAAGGCAGAATGCATCCCTGGGAAGACAAGAAGGAGAATGACAGAGCTGTCACACAAAGACAAAACTAACTTGCTCATCCCAATGTCCTGTTGCAATTTAAATATGTAAGGTGTTCGAAGGAACACAGCAATACCTCTGGTCAACACACTTCAGGAGACTTGGTGGTGATCTGGCCCACAAACTGTGTACCTTAGCTCAAAACACAAGAGAAGAAAAGAGAGAAGATGACCATCTCTCACTGCCATCAAAGGACAGAAGACACCAAAGAGAAAGAGTGGTGTGTAGTGCCCCAAAGGACAATATCTGAGGGCAAAGGGGAGCCAGTCAGATAGATACGAGATGAAGGCTCCCCTGCTGTGTTAGGCAACACTGTGTGGAAGGAGCTCAGAAAACAGTGGGTGATTAATTCTTCCTGCCGGGGCTCAGCAACACTGACATGAGAGTTATTCTGTATTCAGTGTAAGGGGCCAAGTGACCTACCACCCTATCTTGGGAGGAGCCATGATGCCAGTGGTTGTCAGAAGAGGCCAGAAAGAACAACATGTTGAGGAGTATTTCATAAAAATGTCTCTGTCCCCTTGGAGCTTTGGCAGAAGAATGGATGTTGTTGGTACACTTACGCTTTTGAGGGGGGCCTTATAGTAAGGATCTCTGCCCTTCTTGAAGGTCACTTTATAAACCATATAAAAGCCAAGCTGGTCAGAGGTGAGAAAGAAGATTTCCCATAAAAAGCACTGGAACCTGAAGGCTTACTTGAGGTTCACTATAGTTGCTGCTTCCTCCACTCCATCCACTTCGGTTAAATCTGAGAGACAACAACTTTCCAACTGGTTATTGACTGGAATAGAGCCACCAGACCAGCTAGGACTTGAGATACCATCTGGTGGTAGACAGCCTGTCTAAAATATGAGAAAATAGTCTCAGAGAGGTGAAATGCTCGCATAGTGTGAATGAGAAGCTGCATGGAGACTAGAACCCGGGTCTTCTGGCTTCTGGTTCAGTGTGACTGGTTTTTCTCACTACAGCAAAATAGTTAGGGGCAAAGAAGGGAAGACAAGAAGAAGAAGGTCTATTCTGGTCTCGTGCAGCCAGGGTAAGGAAAATGCTGGTACTTCTAGGACAAAACCCAAAGTGAACCCAGGCTAACCAGGACTGTGCTTGGGAGGGGTACAGGGGCATTACCTTTCAACACCAGAGGTTCTTTGCCTTCTCTCTTCAGGGACTCGAGGACTATGTGAAGTGGCTGGGAGGGCATCACTCGGCTCGGCTCATTGGTATTCTCATCATAAACTATAATTTCTTTGGAAAAGATCCTCTTGAAAGAGTCCTTGCCTTCCCTACAGGAAATCAAGTCTAAGACAGTGATCTTGCCCTGCTGCAGTCTCCGCCGGCTGATCTTATCGGCACAGTTAATGTGGACAGCTCCTTGGATGTGACTCTTGTTGTACTCCATGAAGGGCCTGCAGTCGATGATGACAGGGCCCTGGCTCGGCAGGTGACTCTTGCTGCATTTGGTCATCTTCTTCGCCAAGTCATTGGGGTAGATTATTTTGATGCTGGCTAGCTGCTTGGGGGTCCCTGACACAGGGCTGCCCACCCCACCTGATGGACTTAAAGGGCCTGCATTCTCATTGTTGTTGACCATCTGGTTGTCAGGGCAGGCAGTAGAGGTTCCGATGGCAGTGGTGGCGGTGCCGGCAGCAATGGCTTGAGTTTGGGCCTGATTGTCCTTGTCGTAGGTTGCCACAGTGCAGCAACTAGTGCTGCTGCATCCACAATTCAGGGAGCGGGCAGAGCCGCTGGATGAGGGCATATACGTCAGATTCGCAGCCTTGAGGGATATGACGGTGGTGGCAATGACAGGAGGGTGGCTGTTACTGCCTGGGGCGGCAGAGCCAAGGTAGCTAGAGTCTAAACAAAGGTTGAGATCCTGAGGTCGGACGGGCCTAGACAGTGCCACTACTACCCTGTCGTCTAAAGGAGATGGAGGCATGAGGAGGCTGAAAACTGGCAATTGAAGAAGAACTCAAGACAGTCTGTAAAGAAGGGGAGGGGGGAAAGAAAGAATAAAGTCACGTGACACAAAAGGCAGTCTGATCCAAACCCTAGGAAAGGCCTTTGCATCCCTCTGAGTGAGGCTGTCCTAAGGGCCCTTTTTCATGCCATTCTCAAAGCCTGAAACTCATTTTTATAGATTCGAAGAGGATGTCGACCTGACGGCCCCCACCTATTTGGTGACTAAGTCTAAGGTTCCGAGTATGGTCTACACAAATGTTGATGAACAGGCTCTCATTGACCTACATCGAAGTTCAGCCTTGGAGAAAGTACAAGCACAAAGAATCAGAAAAGCTGAAGACAGAAAGGAAGGCTCTTTAGAGGCATCTATTCTAGGCCTCATCTCTTGGGCAGAAGCACAATGCAACCATCTGAGAAAGACCCACTTGTCCACCCTTGCATACTTTCCATTTAATTCCTTCACCCACTGCAAAGGCAACAGAATGACCATGAGCGCTGGCATGGCTCACCGAAATATACAGCAGCTAAATATACATCAGGGAGGATGGCAACTTTCTGCAAATCAGAATGGAAGTATCCCCCTAAGTGAATCTTTTTAACTAGGAGCTATTCTTGCTTTGCATTCCTTTGAAAAGCACAACATAGTCATATTAAAACCTCCCATGTTTCCTGTTAGTCTCTTATAAATTAATCTGCATTTCCCCTTTTGTTACAAACGAAATGTCCTGAAACAAAGCCTCAGGCCAAGGAGCCAGATCTGGTAACCCCCAACCCTGGCAGATCCATCACCCTTTGCTCCTTTGCTGCCCACCTCATCTCCCCCCTTCTCCCCTACCCCCCACACTCCTGCCTTTAAGGAAAGGACCACTTCAACTCTGCTCCCTCCTTCAGTTCCCTGTTGGCACAGACTGTGCGTCCAAGAGCTTCTCTCAATGGGAGGCAGCCACTGTGTATAATATTTCAATCCCCCACAGATAGACCCCCACCCCTTGAAGAGGATGAATTCCATAGAAAGGACTTTCCAATTAGCCAGTGCCTGTTAAAGGGGGCAGTGAAGTGTTGCCCACTGGGTCCATCTCCTGTCTCCTGAGGGGGTGCCTGCAAAGGAAAAGTTCCTTCCTTCCCGTAGGCACAGGGGCACTCTACAACCCAACCCTACTGGCTCCTCTTCTATTAGACATGCTCAGAGAAACCAAACCCCATGCAAGAGTCACTCACCTAAACGAACTTTAAGAGATGTCTGGAAAAATTTCATCTATCATTCGTCTACACAGGACCGTCACCATTCTCCCACACAGAGCCAAAGTGTCACAGGCAGAATCCACACACACGCATACACACAGAGACACGCACCCGACACGTCCACAGATCCCCACGGACTCAGGTTTCTCTTACCCACTTTTGGATGGGAGAGAAGGATTCAACCCCTTCCCTCCCTCCCACCCCTTCCCTCCCTCGCTCCCTTGCGTAGTATTTTTTTGAAGAGCAAGTACTATTCCAGAAGCTGTAACTGTTTTCCAGCTGGACCAAGCGGTGAAAGTCTTTGCTATTGTGTTACCAGGTAGGGTACGTCCCAGGATCAACAGCCCATTTCCTTTGCGAGGGACGCATAAGCGTGTTCGCGGAGTCACAGGCTGGGACCCCCACCTCCACACGGAGTGCGCGGCTCACACACACACACACACACACACATACACACACACACACACACACACACGCCCGGAGTGTATAAAGAGATCTGCATCCCTGCAGCAGAGGGTCGGACGTATATATTGCCCGTGAAAGCATCCAGACTGGCCCAGGAAACCTCCCAGAGAAACACTAAGCTATCCCCGCTCCCTTGCTAGTCGTCCTTCCACCTCTAGGCAGGGGCTGGAAAGAAAATTAAGTCGTTAGAGAATGCTACTTCCCCACTCCTGGGCGCTTATCCCCCTTCGCAACATAGCACACTAACAAGCCCCTGGCATTTAAAACTGCCGCAAAGCATCCCAACAAACCTCATTTTCTTCTTCTCCCCAAATCCAACTCTCTCTGCAGAGAGAGTAAACGCACAGGGAAGCGTGAGCCAACAGCCGGAACCCTTTAACCTCACCTGCTGTGGCTCCCCCGTGAGCATCGCATCACACACACACACATACACACACACACACTCACACTCACACTCACACCGCCTTACACTCCCAGGCTCTCAGGAGTAGCCGCGGTGACTTCCACTTACTTCATAAATAAGTGTAGCCCTCCACCATCTGGCGCTCCGCTTCAGCTAAGGATTCGCCCATTCAGCCCCCATTCACTTGGCTTCATTGATCTCCAGCAGCAACATAGTTACTTTCTCTTTTGCTACACTGTAAATGTAAGGTTCTGAGGGGGCGGGCCGGCTGCCGACCGACGGCACGTTGGGCCAATAGAAATCCGGAGAAAGCTGACCGCTACCTCACAGAGGCCCGCGGCCAATGGACAGCCGGGGGGGAGGGGCCGGGGGCGTGGCATCGTCTCTTTAAGGAGGGTTTATCCGACGCCGCTCCGGGTCCTCAGCGTTATAACACGGGCGGTGATGTCATTGGCAACCAATCAAAAACTTAAAAGGGCCAGCCGGGGCCCGCGCGGAGCAGCTGCTCTCTATTTACATGTAAACCGAACCGGCTGGATGCAGTTAACCCTTTCCGGGGCTGAAGTGTCAATGGGCCGGACTCGCAGCTCGGGCTTAAAACTGGCTCTGTCCCTTTGCCCGGATCCCCTTGCGGCCCCTAGCCCGGGGGCAGATTGCTCTTTTCCCTCCTTACTCAGGACGGAAGATCAAAAGTGTCGGAGTAACTTTCTAAAGGCAAGAAACTATAATCGCCGTCCCCCCGTGGGGTAACCGGGTTCTCCTAGTCGCCCGAGGTGCTTTGACAAACCCTAGACGTCGCCGAGCCGCCTGCGGTGGGACCGACGTGAGCGAGCAGCCAGGGGCGTCGCTTCCGCACCGGCCCGCGAGCACCAGCCATGCGCTGGGGGCCGGGGCACGGGCGCAGCTGGCGAGCCGGCCGGCAGTCCCCGGAAAGGGGGGCCCACCCAGCCAAGCTGCGCCCCGCGTCTTCGAGCCGCCCCGCTCGGCTCAGCGCCGCCGGGAAGCGTCGGCCGCCCGCCCGCAGATGTCGCTGCCCCTCCGGCTGCCCTAGTGCTACCCCGCGCGGCAGTGGCGCGGCGCCCTCTGGCTCGCTTGCATCTGCGCCCCGGTCACGCCCCCACCGTCCCCCACCCGCTTCCCGGGGCTCTGCCGGGAACACCAAGGCGGCTCTGCGGAGGGCTGCTCAGAGGCGGCGGCCTGGGTCCAGGCCAGAAGCGGCAGGGAGCGCGCCCACTAGGCCGGGCGTCGCTGGGCTCACCGTGCGCTTGCCACACCCCGGCGGCCGCATCTCCCGCCCCGCGCGCAGGGTCCCAGCTCCTGGCCTGCAGCCCGCCGTCCCCACGCCCTCGGCAGCCGCCCCGCCACCCCGCAAGGCCCCAGGCGAGCCGAGGACAGCTAGCCCGGCGCTTCTGAAACACCACCGCTGGAGGAAAGGAGTTGGAGCTGAGTGTGAATAACTAGATCGAGTGTAGCCTGCGGAGCGTCGAGGAGGCGGCGCCCCCCCGGGGTGTTTTCCTTTTTTTTTTTTTTTTTTTTTTTTTTTTTTTTGCCGTCCGCTGGGTCGCAGGCCCAGGCATGCGTCCCGAGGAAAAGAGTGGGGGGCGAGGCAGGCCGGCTTGCGCCTGGGCACGAAAATATCAGGGAAACTGCGGGAAAGTTATCTTGGGCTATGCAGAGGAGTGGAGATGATAAGATGAACTACGGAGAGCCTGCATCAAAGAACCCTCAAGAAATAGAGCTTTTCCTTTTCCCTCTCCCGTCTCAGAGAGCCAGAAGCGACGGAGTTTAATAATGACAATGGAGTACATTATATTAGGAGCACTATAGAATATTTGGCTATGAGTTTTTTCTCTTACTAGATTGAAGGTGTTTGGAGATATACTTAAGGCTCCAGGACTATTAAGTAAGCTAAGTGGCAGCGACATATTCATATGATTGCTTTCAGTGCAGATCTAAAATCAGAAGATGCCCAGAGTTGGCCAGCTACACGCTCAAAGAGCTACTAAGAGAAATCCCCTTGGGTTCCTCTAGGGTGGAGGGGAATATATGTATAATTTTTACATATGTGCATACACATACACAGTCCAGCCTTCACACCCATGTTTCCACGTGCAGTAAATGCAAACAATCATCTTAAAAAGGAAAGGGTTTTGGGTATCCCCTTCTGCATTCACACACCAACACACATACACATTCATGCTCTTAATGATAACTAATGAGTACTTAGGGCACACCCTTTCTTTGGTCCTTACACCTTGGGGATCAGCAGGTCCTGGACAAGGAACTGGTTCTGGGTAATTTCATAGAAATCAGAAAAGAAGTTCCCAGAGGGTCTACCCTGGATCTGTCTGGAGCTTTAAGAGCTTGCCTTTCCCTAACCATAGACAATTATTGAAAAATGTTTGCTAATTCAGGGTCAGAAAGTTCTGGTTTTAAGTCCCGATTCTCTCATCTGTAGTGTCTGTTCATCCAGAGTCACTGTGTTTATTTATTTATCTGTAAAATGGTAACACCTCAGCCCAGAAGGAAAAGTCCTGGTGGGAGTGCTGGGGGCAGGGGGTGGCAAGAGGGGACACCATGATGACTTGCTGATAAAAGGCATTCAGTAAAAAAGCATTGTCCTTGCTTCCAGAGACTGGGTGCCTCTGTTTAAAAGCATTTGTGATCTCTAGATTATGAATTCATTGCTAATGCCTCACTATCTAAACCCAAACAAAGTAGGGATTTATATAATAGCAGAAGAGTTTATAACAGCTTTTCCCACAGACCCAGAAGGGGAATGTCACTTCAAAAACAAATTTAACTCATTTAATGAGATGATTATTTTATTATAGTTTAAAACTAGTGGATTATTATAATTTAGTTGACTAAGAGTCAAAGCCATCCAAACTGAAAAATTAGGAAAAATGGCAAAATTCCTCATCATTTATCAAACTTGAAACATGGAAGAATTACCAGATCATTAACGTATACAAACATGTAATTATTTTTTAATTAAGCATCTATAAAGGTATAGCCTATGTTCAAATTATAGAGTGTAGAAAACAGATTACATATGGCTGTTTTTTCAGTCGTTACACTTCTGAGCTGCTTTTGTACAAAAAGAGGTGATTTTGTTTCTTTTCTTTTTTTTTTTTGAGTCATAAATGTGAAAACACTATCTGAAGTACTGCCCGTAGATTTAAATTTGTAATACCAGCCAGCCAATGGCTATGAACCTGATCTGTATAGAAATAGCCAGCAAAGACTTAATGTTCAATTTTAGTCCCAAAGAAACAACAAAGCATCTTCAGTGTATTTGAGTGTTCTGACATGATTGTGCTGAGCCATATCTTTGTTCCAACAAACATCATGAGGAAAATACTGTTTTGGTGGAAAGCACTATATGTTAAAGCCAAAAGATGAAGATAACTTAGGCCAACATATAAGATATAATATGGATAATGTTGAAAAAATGTATTAATTAAATGACTTCCTTAATGTGCCCTCAAATGGTGTTACGTGTCTGGGATGATGGCAGAAGGTAGGGACCGGTGTGAGAGCTGGGTTTTCAAAATAATCCTCAAGGTCGAGATGGATTCATGGAGGTACTAGAATTAAGGCAGAGAAAGGCTTAAAGAAAACTTAGAAATAATACATCACAAGATAAAGGTGATAGTAAGTAAATTACCAAGAAGTGGGGAATGAGCCGAGGGATAGAAAGGTGAGGTGTCCAAGGAGCTGAGGTCATTGAGGCTGGCCTGGAGAAACATCCCAAAGCACTTTCCAGGCCAGAGAAAGGCTGGTGAGAAGGATCCCCTAAAAGAGGTGGCCACTCCTGTGTTTGGGGGGTGTTGGAAATAGAAGCCGGCCCATCTGCTTGTCTCACTATCCACGAGTTTGGACACAGGAGGCCTGTAGATCTTTCTCATTAAAGTCATGGGTAGGTTGCACCTGTGACTTTGGAAAAGGCTCTGAGCCATGGAAGGTTCTGTATCTGAGTTTTCCAGTATGGCAGCCATTTGCTACATGTGACTACCGAACACTTACAATGTGGCAAATACAAATTTAAATGCGATGTAAGTTTAAAATACATGCAGGATATTGAAAACTTCATGTAAAAAATGTAAAATACCTCAGTTATTTTTATGTCCACTACATGTTGAACTGTTTGGATATGTCAGGCTAAATAAAATTTTTTTAAGATTTTATTTATTTGAGAGCAAGGGAGAGAGCATGAGCAGGGGGAGGGGAAGGGGCAGAGGGACAAGCAGACTCCCTGCTGAGTGATTGAGTGGGGCTCAATCCCAGGACCCTAGGATCATGACCTAAGCCAAAGGCAGACACTTAACTGACTGAGCCACCCAGGCACCCCTAAATAAAATATGTTAGTGAAATTAATTTTACCTGTTTCTTTTTACCTCTTAGAATATGACTATTAGGAAATTGGAAGACTTAATGCACTTTACATCTTTTAAAGTGTGGGCAGTGCTGTTCTAGGGCCTGTAATCCCTCCTTTGATTTGAGGACACTTTGGTGCCAAAGGCACCAGAACCACAGAATGTTAGACCCGAAGAGGACTTAGAGCGTATCTAGGCCGGTGGTTTTCAAACTGTGTTAGGATGAACCACAGGGAATGGAGACACCAGTGCCAGGCGAAGGGTAAAGCCAGAGCCCTGGTGGTAAGCTGGAGGAGCTCTGAGACCATGCACCCACCCCCTACCCCCAACTTGAGATGTATTCTTCTGTTCCTGAGACTCCAAAGTAAGATTTCATCTGAAGAAAGAACTCCAGTTGGTATTTTGTTTTGTTTTGTTGTTTTAATTCTGGCCCATCATTTTACCTATAAGGCAACTGGAGGCCCAGGGAATGGCAATGACCTGGCCGAAGCCATGCTTGACCTCAGGACTCAACCTCAACTTCATCTCAAGGTCCAGTGTGGCCTCTACAGTGGAGGAAGTGACTGACCTGTTGGGGACTAATAAACTCCCTGTCTCAACTGGGAGGCAACTGGACACCTTTCCAAACTCTTCCTCCCCCTCCACTCGTCCCTCCGTTTGTGACCTCAGAAATACCTCCTGCTCTTTGTCAAAACAGATTCTGGCTAGGTCCATGTGTGTGGATCATTGACACAACTTCTTTTCTTTATGAAAATACCAAACAAAAAACTCACTGGTGGTTGGTTTCCAGGAACGTGTTGCTCTGGGATGGAAGGCCTATTATTATTGTGTGTTGCTACATCAAAGACTTAACATTTTCCCCTTTGCCAGGCTGAGCGATCATCTTCTCATTAGAAAATGCTGTCAGACCCACAGTGGCTCAGCCCCAGCAGGCTGTGACTGAGAGCTGTGAAGGGACCTCCTGGGATGCCAAGACAAGCCCAAGCCTCCAAGGTAAACATGCCCTCTAAGCATTCCTCAAGCCCCTCTGACCTGGGTCAGGTCTAACGTGAAGGAATTAATCTTACATCCACAGCATCTTTTAGTCCTGGATAGAACAAGCTCCTTCACATGGCCCAGTGTGTCACACGGTGCCTTACTTATCTTTACAAAATTAAACAGGGACTGAACTGGCTTTAAAGATCTGGCATTTGGAAAATAAGAATAACGGGTGCGGAGTCTTGTTTCGTTCTGTGCCCAGCACTGCTGCAAGTGATCTACGTGCATTAACTCACTCAAAGCTTCACATCCGCATCGCGGCTATAAGTAAGTACTACTTTTATTAGCCTTAATTGAAAGATGAGGACACAGAAATACAGTCGGGTGAAGAATCTGCCCCGGGTAACACAGCTACAAAACAGCAGAGGCAACATTTGAACCCAGACAATCCGGCGCCAGAACATCTGCTTTTAACCATTATGTGTGATTTAATTCACTCTCTCTGTGATTTTATAAACTTCTATCGTATTTGCCTCCATCTCCAGACAGCCGGCGTACTTTTAATTGCCTCTTTGTGAGAATTCGCTGTTTTTTTCCTCTGCTTTCTCCTGAACTTCTTTGGAGTCCCTTATGTCCTCACATGGACTCTCTCGCTGCTGGATCCTCCACATTTGGGACGGGATCAAAACCTCCACTTTGTTTCCAGAATCCTCCCAGAATAGCGCTCTAAACTTGGTTAGTGTTTTGGTCGCTGCTGCAGGCAGCGAGGAAAGGCCTAAGACAGCTCCGTTACCCAGACCTGGACTAGTCCACAGTCCCATCCCCAAGCCAGGCACTGGGGCTAGTGTGGAGTGGAGCATGAGCTCAGGAAGTTCCTGGTGAACGAAGAAACGCGTGGCTGAATGATCTGAGCACGTTTCTTACGCATACCCTTGAACTGCTTTTCCCTAGATGCACACCCTGGCACGTCTGATGCCTTTGAAGCTACTGATCTGGGCCTTCTGCCATGGGGAAAAGTTAAGGCACCTCTGAAGTCCCTAAATCCAGCCCTCTTCTGAATTACTTATGCAGATATTAACCAAATGTCTATCTCTACGGAGCCCCATTGTTTGTGCATCCCTTTGTTTGCTTACCATATTCTCTCCCTTCATAGTTTAACTTCAATTTCTTTTTCTCCTGGCTTCTACGGAAATATCAACATCTTCCTCATTACCATCCATCTCATTATGATCCGTATCATACTCAAATTTTGCATCTGTCAGCACTCTGTGCACTGTGATCGTCTTCCATGCTCAGGAAAATTTCACCTTTCGTGCGCGCTGAGTTTTAGCAGAAGGAAGGCATGTTCCTTTTCTCTTTCAACATCTTCCCTTTTGTAATATTCAAAGGCATCCGTTTTCATGTGCTTCTCTCCCGGCCAGGCAGCTCGGCCAGTGTTTATTTTCCAGCATGTAACTGATGCTGATGAATAGATTTTTCAGAAAGAGGCATTTCATCCAAACCCGTGCCTGGAAGCCCACAAGTTCTTCGTCCTACTGAGAATGGGTGATGTGCTCTTAAAAACATGCTGTTCCGGTTCTGGACTAGATGGGGAGCAGTGACCTGAGAAGTCTGTTTTTAGTGTTCTGTGAACACTTGCTGTGTTCTGTGAAGGTGGCTCATGTCCCCATAGGCACCCAGCTCGGGGGAGGGGGGTGGGGTGTTCAGTGTTGTCCCTGATTTATGTGGTGGATAAAGCAACCACTTTAGAATTACATTCTCAGCTTGCAAGCGCTAAGAATGCACAAATGTGGCAGAAGAGTCCCTTTCTGGGTGAATTGAAGTGTCCACCATGGGTTGAGTACGGAGCCCACTGGAACACCCGGGCACGTAGTAGATGTTCAAATAAATGCAGGTCAGGTCAGGTCAGGTCGTGTCAATGCAAGATATTCACAAGTAAGAGTAAAATCCCTATTGAAGTCGACTAGATTTGTAGTTCAAGCAGGAATCTTAGAGAAGAAGAAAATGTTATCGATGCCATAAACTTCCAGTTCACAAAAAATATATACAATTTAAAGAAGATAAATAGATTGGATCAGAAGGTGGCCACACAGAGCTGGTGCTGTGCATCATTCATCTGCCAACGCATGGAGTTTGGGACAGGTGTGTGTAGGGGACATATTAAGATGTATAATTCACAGGGAATTCTTAGCCACCCCCAATATTGCCTTTTGCAATTCCTATTCCTAGGAACCAGGAAAATGGATACTACTTGATAAATTGCTATTCTGAATTTTAAATTGGATTAATAACAACAACCAATCCAATGAAGTGTTTTCTCTATATTCTTCACAGACCAGAAATGCCAGCAGATTCTGATTCCTTTTTCCATGCATCATCCCAATCCTCATGTAATATGTGAGTTCTTGAGAATGTGGATAAAGAAGTTAGATATTCAGACATTTTGCCCATCAAGATCATCCAGCATATTCCACCGATGGTTGCTTCTAGCCCATCTAGCATTTAGAACTACTTTCTAGAAGGTCAAACTTTTGCTTTCCCACTTTCTGCCCTCCAATCATCAAAATTAGTTGTGGAAGGAAGAAGAAAGGACCAAAAGAAGGAAGGAGAGAAGGCAAAAGAAAGACAGAGATGGCTGGGAATTTTTGTTCGGTTTATAAATTTTTTGCTTGTATTTTTGACTGCAGGATTGGGAGGTGTATACTGGGGCAGAGAAAGAGCAAAGAGTGGACAAGTAGAGGAAATGTTGCCAATTCCAGACATTTTTGTTTTCACAAGCAAGACAGACGGGAACAGAATCTGGCCACAGCAAGCAGTTTTGAATGCTTTGCAGCCAAACACGTGGTGGCCCTGATGCTGAGTCTGGCGGTCCCCAGCAGACACTGGACCCCCGCACCTGGGATGGGAAGGAAGCGGTAGGGCTGTTGATCTTGATGCATCTCTCCGAGGGGCAGCTCTGACTCAGGTGGCAACAGTCTGCTCCTGTGCCCGGCCATGGAGCCTCAAGGATGAAAGCATTTAGTCTCTGCCTCTGGGAAAGCTGAATGAGGGGAAATTTTAGGATGTTCCAGTACATGCCCAGAGCCACTGTATTTGAACCCAGGACAATCCCAAAGACAAGTTCCTCTGATCTCACAATATGAGGAGCAGATTGTGCTTCTCTCCAATGAGGGTGCAGAGCATTTCCCTCTGTGTGTTTAAGCTACCATGATTTTCACCTCTGATGATTCATTTCATGCGTCAACTCAGCTGGGCTACGGTGCTAAGATAGCTGGTCAAACATTATTCTGGATGTTTCTGTGAGGGTTGTCTTTTGGATAAAACTGACACTTAAACTGATGGACTTTGAGTGAAGCAGATTATTCTCCATAATGTGGGTGGGCCTCATTTAATCAGTTGAAGGCATCAAAGATTGATCGCCCCCAGGCAAGAGAGAATTCTACCAGCAGGTGGCCTTCGCACTTCAACTGCAACATGGGCTCTTCCTACGTCTCCAGTCTGCTGGCCCATCTTGCAAATTTTGGACTTGCCAGCCTTCTTAATCACATGAGCCAATTCCTTAAAATAAATCTCTCTCTATGTATATTATATGTAAGTCCTTTGGTTCTATTTCTCTGGACAACCCTGACCAATACACCTTTCTTTCTTTTTATGGACAAAGCAGAGAAAAGCCTAGGAGATGCACATTGTGTCGTGTGTTAACCCATCTCCGTTCCTGTCCTGAATTACTAAAGACACACTCAATTGAGTGCATCTTCATCTGACTGTCTTAATGTCCAAGAGTTTAAAACTAGTGAAAGGGTGATAAGGATACTCTCAATAAATCTAAGATAGAAAATCTTTTTAGGGGCACCTGGGTGGCTCAGTCGGTTAAGCGACTTGCCTTCAGCTCAGGTCATGATCCCAGGGTCCTGGGATCGAGTCCCTCATCGGGCTCCTTGCTCAGCGGGGAGCCTGCTTCTCCCTCTGCCTCTGCTGCTCCCCCTGCTGTGCTTTCCCTCTCTCTCTTTCTCTCTCTGACAAATAAATAAAATCTTTTTTTTTTAAAAAAAGCTTTTTAAAAAACTTAATCTAAGATAGGATAACTGATACAGAAGGAAAACAAAGGTCTCACTCTACCCCACCCCACCCCTCACAATTTATTAGGAAAATGTAGAAACTCCCATTTGGCTTTGGATTCTAAAGCAATCTAGAGATTGGAAAGATAAAAATAACCCCGGAGTTATGTTTCTGAGCTCCTTATTTGTGTCCATTTAGCCTGAAGGAAGAAAGATATGAATATGTTTGCTTTCCCCCAAATGCATATTTAATCTTTATCTAAACATCCTGAAATTGGAGCTTGTCGGGAGTTTCCACAGTAAGTACAGATTGCTTTCTCAGTTTTCTATCATGTATTAAGAGCCATTTTAAATCACAGAACTAATGTTGCAGTTACTTAATTCTGGTTACTTTTGCTTTTCCAAGGTAATCGACATGCGGTTGGATCATTATAAGATCTCAGCATAGGAGCCTAAAGAGTGGACTTCTCAAAATGAAGAGGTCACAGTCACAAAACCACATCGGAGACTAAAGCGTCCTCTATTTCTGCAGCTACATAGTGTTTTCAGTTTCCCTGGCTCTTTATCAGGAATGTGTGGGGAGCTTGACTCCAAATCTACAACTCTGCTTCATCCTCCCCAGTTTCTAGCAGACCAGAAGCCTGTTCTCTAGACCAGAGCTTCTCCAACTCTAGATTCACACAGATTTTTACCGGAGTATCTTATAAAAATGCTGGCTCCGATTCAGTAGGGTGGAGATGCGACCCAAGATTCTACATTTCCTAATACACTTCCCCATGATTTTGATGCAGCTGGTCCACAGATCACACATCTGGACCCAGACCATCCAATTCAGTAGCCACCAGCCATGTGTGCCTCTTTGAGCATTTGAATTGGGGCTAATCTGCATTAACATTGACTCTAAGTGTAAAATACATACCAGGTTTTGAAGATTCAGTAGGAAAAAAAGAATAAAATATCTCATTAATAATTTCATCTTGATTACATGTTGAAATAACATTTTAGAAATAAGGGGTTAGGGGCGCCTGGGTGGCTCAGTTGATTAAGCGTCTGCCTTAGATTCAGGTCATGATCTTGGGGTCCTGGGACTGAGTCCCACATTGGGCTTCCTGCTCAGCGGGGAGTCTGCTTCTCCATCTCCCTCTGCCTCTCCCCCAGGTCATGCTCTCTCTTGCTCTAGCTCTCTCTCTCTCACAAATAAATAAATAAAAATCTTTAGAAAAAAATATGGGGTGAAACAAAATATATTACAATTAGTTTCACTTTCTTCACTTGCAATGACTTTTTTTAAATGGAGTTACTAGAAAATTTTCAGTTAACATAGATCGTTTGCATTTGTGGCTTACATTAAATTGCTTTTGGAGAGTTCTGCTCCAGATCAACAGAGCTGGCCCTAGACGTTTCTGTAAGGGAATGGATTCCCTACTCTTTTGGTTCCTTTTCACCAGGCACTGAATTCATCTTTTTATTTTTTGAGAGAGAGAGTGGGGGGCGGGGGTTTGCAGAGAGAGAGAGAGAGAATCCCAGGCAGTCTCCACCCTCAGCGTGGAAGTCCAACAGGGAGGCTCGATCTCAGGACCCCGAGTCCGCAACCCGAGCGAAAATCAAGAGTTGGCCATTCAACCAACCGAGCCCAGGCTCCCCCAAATCCATCTCTTAATCCATCTCCGTGGGTCTCAGAACTGATGCTGTGGTGCGTATTGCTGCATCCCTCTCCCCACCCCTTTCAAAGATGGATTGGTCATCTAACTGCTTGGCCATCTTGGGTCCTTCAATCAGGGTGTGTGCTCTCTGACAAGACCTAGCCCAAAATGACACAGAAATCCTCTCAAAAATTCACTAATGGGGCTCTCGTGTTCCTCCCAAAGTCTGTGACATACATAGAATCTTTGTAAGCGACCAAGTCTCTTAGCAAAAATAGCATGGGCTTTAGAACCAAGAGACGCTGGAGTTTAATTTGATCATGGGATTAATTAGTTAATTGAATAAGCCACTCTGGGCCAGTCTTTTAGGTGGTAGGGTTTCGGTGGTGAACAAAAGTAACACTTTCTCTGCCCAAAAGAGTTTAAAGTTTAGAAGAGAAAACAAGCATTAAGCCAGAAAGCACATGAATAAATAGACCACAAAATACAATTCCAGCGTCTCCTGTTTTCATGTGCGAACATTCCTTATCCCTTCTGAGCCTCGGTTTGGTGTTTGGAACGTGACTAAAAGCTCCAGCTTCCAGGGGTCTGTGAGGATTAGAAAGAGTGATGACATTTGTGCAGGTAGCATTATGCCCAACACAGAGTAGGTGCCTGGCTAAATAAGAACGAGCAGCCAGGATCCTATTTATTTGTTGGCTTATTTATATGCTGCCCTGTGATGGGTTAAGTTTATATGTCAACTTGACTGGGATGTGGGATGCCTGGATAGCTGATAAACATTATTTCTGGGTGTGGTTTGTGTTTCTAAAAGAGATTAGCATTTGAATCAGCAAATGGGAAAGAAGATAGCCCTTACCCTCAGGGGAGGGTATCATCCAGTCCATTGAGGATCCAAATGGAATCAAAAGGTGAAAAAGAGCTAATTTCTCTCTTCCCCTGCTCGTGGATGTTAGAGCTTCTGGTTCTCTGGCCTCAGACTCCAGGACTTACACCCATGACCACTTCCCCACCTCCCCATCCACCACAGGGTGGGTTCTCAGACTTTGGAACTTGGACTGAATTATATTCTATCACCAGCTTTCCTGGGTCTCCAGCTTGCACTTTGTGGGACTGCTCAGCCTCCACAAGCCTATGAGCCAATTCCTATAATAAATCTCCTCTTTGATATATCTGAATATGTCCTGTTGGTTCTGTGTCTCTGGAGAGCCCTGGAGAGCACACTGCCTCATCCCCAAACCTTTGCAACAACTGGGTAGGCTGTTGTCACATTGCAACAGCCTCAACTCAAACTTCTTGACATGTCCTAAATCAATTCTTGGCACATAAGAAGCGTTCAATAAACATTTCTGGAAGCAAACTATACCTGGAACAGACCCCTTGCAAGAGTCCTAGCACAAACCTCCTCATTTGCCGAAGATGCTAGAAGCCAGAGTTGGCACAACTTACCCAGGAACACATTTTCAGTAATCCCTCTGGAAAAGAAAACACTGATCATATCTGCTAGGCACCTGTGGATGGAGAAGAGTCTGTGGAAGTGCAGTCGGAAAAGAGAAGAAAGACGACAATGGGGAGCAGGTTGTGGAGAGACAAGGAGGTGGAAGCCAAGGGGCCATGGAGGGGAGGAAGTGGACATAATGTCAAGAATTCCTCTTTCAGGAGGTTTGGTGATTAAGAAAAGGAGGGAGCCAAGAGCTCCATGGATGAAGCACTAGCACGAGGGGGCTTTCTGTTTGTTTTGTTTTAGAGCGGAGACATGAGCACAGTAGAGGCTGAGCTGAGTTGCTGGTTGAAATGAGGTGTAGACAGTACAAGAGAGGAAGAGAGCAGCTCTGACCCCCAAGCCCAGGCAGAAAGAGGATGGGTGAATGGGTGGGCAGAACAGGGGTGATCGGCAGCCTTAGAAAGTAAGGGGGCGCCTTGGCTTCTGAGATGAGTAAGGAATGTGATAAACATTCAGTTCTATGTTGAGGGGAGAGAAGGACCATTTAAGAAGTGAAGAAGGAGGCAGGACACTCTGGGAGAGTGAGGAGGGCATCATATGCTAGTGTTCTGCCTGGACTTCCAGCCCAGACTCTCCTGAACTTACAACCCAGACCCAGGCTTCTCGAAGTCTGGTCTGTGGACCAGTGCCGGACCACACACTGTTTGTTGCTGGTCTAAATTCAGAGAAAGAGCTTTGTGTCCGAATGCAAATAAACAACATTGCTAAGCACACTGTTTAGTTCAACTGAATTTTTTCCTGTCTGAAAGGAGCAGAACATTAATCTACCTTCTAGCTGAGCTCCTTTTCTCATCACAGTGCACAGAGAAGGTACTTTTGGGTAACTCTGATCTATACAGTCTCCTCCTGACAATTCAGCCTCGATACCCCACAGACCCCTCTCACCAAACTGAATTCATCACCTTAGCTCCCAAACTTGCTCCTGCTTCTTTGCTGTCTTCCTCAGTGAGTCAGTGTCTCCCTCCGACCAGGTCTCCAAGCCAGAAATGTCAGGGAGGGTCATTTATCTCACACCCCCCTCTCCAATCTTGACCAGTCATTCATCAGCCTGGTGGATACTCCCCCCTACATATAGCTCTCAAGTCCACCTTCTCTCCATCCTCATTCTCACTTGAATGAGTGAATGATGTCAAGGCAGAAATGGACAACTTAGTTGATTGCGTACTGAGCAGAGGTGATGGACGTGGGGTCATGAAATGCTGCCTGACTATGGTCAAGGTGGTCTCAGAGCCCAGACTGAACTAACTAAGCCTGTAAATGGAGTCACAGAACTCCAGCAATAGAGGTGGGGGCTGGAATCAGGCAGGCCATTCCTGAAAATCTTCCACTAGCTGAGCTGTGTCTTCTCTCACTGAATCTGGTTCCATTCACAAAAGGTCTCCTGGATCCCATCAAAAGCAGCTTCGGCCAAGACCATCTTTCAAATCAAAACTCCTACCACCTGTGCATATTGTCAGCTACTTTTCATTTCTAGGCTTCCTGGTTTCGCTCTCTTCCAACCCAAATATCACTATCCTCCCAACCCCCACCAACACCACTACCATTTCGGCTTTTGCCCTTGACTTAGACCCTGTTACTTAAAATCTTGTAGTTTCCTTTACATTCCTGTAACATATGACTTGCAGAATCTGGCCCCAGATTGCAACTTAGCAATAGATGGGAAGACCCACATCTGACACTCTACCTTGGTCTTTAGGACTCCATTGTCTATGTTGTGTTGTTGTCACTTTATGCCAAAAGAAAGATAGGTAGGACAGAGAAGGGGTGGGGGGAAGCTAACACAATCATCTGGAGCCAAATAATAGATTATAGCTGGAAACTCCCATCTTGATTTGGCTCAAGGGCCACAGCTATATTTGGCTGGCCCCTGACTGACATAATTATTATTGCCAGAAAGTAATTTTAGAAAGACCTTAAAAGGAGGACATGGGTGATTAAAGTTCTAATAATAACATTTCTAAAAAGTCTGGGTTAATGAATCTGTAACTCAGGTAAAAGAAAAGAGGCTTCAGGTGTTCAGGGATTAGTACCTGGGACTGAACTTGGAAAAAAAAAATTTCTGTTGGGGAGTCAAGTAGGGCAGGCATAGATCACATGCCCCTAAGAAGTCACGTGGAAACAGAGAGAAATGTTTCACAAAGCAAATAATATTTTAAATCCATTCACTGAGCATCCCTTATGTCAGGGTGCCGTACCAGTCCCTTTGCAGGATTCCCATGCGTGTGAGTAAGGCTGGTCTGAACATTAGCCTAGGCATTCTGGCTCTTTATGGCCAGAGTCTAATTGGCTGATGCCCTACCAGTTGTTAAATATTTTGAATGTCACCCTTGGATATAAGGCAAACTTTCTGTCCTAAAATAGCTTACAGTTTACAGGATGAGATATGCCCACGAGTAACTACAGTGCAATGCTGTCTCCTAATACTGGTTACAATTTTATTTCGTGCTGTCCTTTACAACGTGATTTCAGATACTTGATCACATTTGAACTTTACAACAGCTCCAAGGTGCATGTTCCTATCCTCATTTTGCAGATAAGAAAGCATGAAGTTCAGGGAAGGAGGCAGACTTTCACATTGTACAGAGCAATAACTCCTCCTGGCTCGACAACATCTGATTTTCCCTCCCATCCTTACCCCCAGTGCCCATGGCCTCCCTACTTAAAGCAAACAATTGTTTATTTCATGAATTAAGTATTGATTTCTAAATACAGATTTTTATACCCAATAACCACATGAAGATCAGCTTTGTAGATCATCCTGATAGAAAGTTTAAAAAAAAAAAAGCCTC